CATGTATATGTAGCCTCGTGTTTCCTAGCTGGATTCGGTAAAATCCTACTCCGACCATATAGTTGGCAAGGGTAATCCTCAGTGGAGGTTCAGTGCGCTAAACAAGCACGATGAACAGGCTTTGTGGCGCGGTGGTAGCGATCTCTGTTCACACTCAGAGGTCCAGGGTTCGATTCCCGACTAGTGAGGCATTGTTTGTGTGTGTATCTATATATATAAACCAAAGAAGTATGTCTGTGTGTTGGGTTTGTTTGTGTGTGTGTCCGTACAAGAATCTCGGAAAGTACTTTACAGATCTGTAGATGGATGGTGTTATATGTAGTGATGATGATGCATAGTGTTATATGTAATGATGTTGGATGATGTTATATGTAGTGATGAGGGATGTCGTTATAGTAGTGATGACGGGTGTTGTTATATGTAGTAATGATGGATGGTGTTATATGTAGTGATGATGGATGATGTTATATGTAGTGATGATGGATGTTGTTATATGTAGTGATAATGGGTGGTGTTATATGTAGTGATGATGGAAGGTGTTATATGTATTGATGATGCATGGTGTAACATGTAGTGATGATGGATGGTGTTATATGTAGTGATCTCAAAAAAACTCCAACCAACCTGATCCGACACAGCCCAGACGCACACACGTAGAAAAGTCGTATTCCCTCCTATGATTTACAGCTATTTTGATCCTTAGGTTCTTTCATTATGGCTTAATTTTCTCTGCATTTAACCTCCATTCCTTACACCACACAGAGGTTGAAAAGTCGTATCCCATCCCACATATTATAGCTAATTTTATCCTTATGCTCTCTCTCTCTCATTACAGCATACTTTTCTTTGATATCTAACTTTTCTAGGCTGTCCATTCTAACAAGGTAGATAGGTAGGTAGGTAGGTAGTCCATTCTAACGAGGTATGCCAAACGTAAGATATTTCTCACCGTGGCCTAGAGAAAGAGCGTTTCTGCTATCTATATACGTATATATAAAACAAATAAGTCTGTCTGTTTGTATGTACGTCCAGACGAGAATTTTGGAAACTACTTTACCGATCTGTAGTGATGATGGATGGTGTTATACTGTATGTCGTGATGATGGATGTTGTTATATGTAGTGATGATGGATGTTGTTATATGTAGTGATGATGGGTGGTGTTATATGTAGTGATGATCTATATCTATATAAAACAAAAAAGTCTGTCTGTTTGTCTGTGTGTCCGCACGAGAATCTCGGAAACTACTTTACCGATCTGTAGTGATGATGGATGGTGTTATATGTAGTGATGATGGATGATGTTATATGTAGTGATGATGGATGATGTTACATATAGAATATGAAAAGTATCCCTCTGTTGTCTTTGGCAACATGGATAAGAAATGTGAATACTGGGGTGCAAAGAAGTACAAAGAAGAATCTGCTGGACTGTGCTACTCTCATGGGAAAGTACGACTGCCAAATTTGGAAAACCACCACAACTATTGAAGACTCATGCTGGGAACAACACCAGAGTCAAAACACTTCTTGGAAAGTATACGGAAGTACAATTCATGCTTCCAGATGACATCCTTTGGAGCTACCAGAGTAGTTCGTGAGCACGGATACATGCCCACACACATCCTTGACCACTGAAGGGTCAAGACGTACCTGGCGCTCCTCTGGGAGCAGCCAGGTCAACTGTTAAGTTGGCCCATACCAACTCCCTCCCCTGTACCCTCCTCCCCACCGGAATATCAACAAGTTCTCACCAGAAGTTACAATTTCATTTAGAAAAGGAATGGAACAAGTGTTGAACAGAGGTGAACAGTGGTGAACAGTGCTTAAGTCAGTGAGAACAACTCAACAGTAACAGACGAGTCGTACCCAAGGTACCCTTCACACAGTGAGGTCCCAGGTACCCAGTGATAACGGCCCGTGAGACCCCAACAACAACCAGGGATGTGTTAATCCGTCTACGATAGGAAGGACTGGAACCACACCTCACTCATATAACACCATCTGTGAGGGAATTACTACACCACATGCCCTCATAACACCATCTGTGAGGGAATTACTACACCACGTCAGGTCCCCCATAACACCATCTGTGAGGGAATTTCTACACCACGTGAGGTCCCTCATAACACCATCTGTGAGGGAATTACTACACCACGTGAAGTCCCTCATAACACCATCTGTGAGGGAATTACTACACCACGTGAGGTCCCTCATAACACCATCTGTGACGGAATTCGTACACCACGCGATGCCCCTCAAAACACATCTGTGAGGGAGTTACTACACCACGTGAGGCCCCTCATAACACCATCTGTGAGAGAATTTCTACACCACGTGAGGTCCCTCATAACACCATCTGTGAGGGAATTACTATAGCACGTCAGGTCCCTCATAACACCATCTGTGAGGGAATTACTGCACCACGTGAGGTCCCTCCTAACACCATCTGTGAGGGAACTACTACACCACGTGAGGTCCCTCCTAACACCATCTGGGAGGGAATTACTACAGCACGTCAGGTCCCTCATAACACCATCTGTAAGGCAACTACTACTACACCACGTGAGGTTCCTCCTAACACCATCTGGGAGGGAGTTACTACATTACGTGAGGTCCCTCATAACACCATCTGTGAGGGAATTATGCACCACGTGAGGTCCCTCATAACACCATCTGTGAGGGAACTACTACACCACGTGAGGTCCCTCCTAACACCATCTGGGAGGAAGTTACTACACCTACATTAATCTGTAAGTTCACTATATGTTCCTTTACCTTTCTCTAATGAAGACTTTTGTTAAACCACCAATGTATGTAATAAGTCATTTATGACCAATGTATATTTTCAGCCTTCGGGCTGCAGAACTTTTTCAATAAACCGTTAATTATTATTATTATTATTATTACATTCAAAGTCCAGGGTCAAGTCTATCACAAAGCAGGATCCCTCTTACCACTGGAAGATGAGCAGGCAAAGTTCCTCCAAATCTACTTCATGGGAGATCATGAAAAGCAGACTACTACCAGGTGTGGCAACATTCAAGGTGTCAGACATGACATTGTCCTATCTATCCAAGAAATGCTGCATGAGCGCAACACGTATGTACAGTCATTTAAAAATGCCCTGGAAAACATGCCTTCTGACGAATACAAAGTCAGGACCAAAGCAGACACCTTAATGCACTACAGTGAGACAATGTGGAGCCTCTCGGAGGGTGGCGTCCTACCGTGGCCTAGCGAAAGAGCCGATCCGCTATATACTGTATATATATAATAGCAAAATATTCTCGAGATAAGAGTTTATAAATATTTTAAAGGAGATTATGTAAGTACAGTAAAAACAGATTTGCCACAACACCAGCGATCAAGAGATGAATATGTTCACCATCTAGTGCAGGTTGATGGTGGAACAACCGTGTGGTGGACCAGCATCCTGTCCAGGTGGAGAGTAATTCTTTAGCTGCTGAATGATGGTGGAACAGCCCTTGGGTGGAATAACATCCTGGCTGCTGCTTACTAAGAATCGATTAGCACCTGCTCCGGCACCCTATCTGTTAGCCAAAAAATCTTGTGGGAATAACAAAATAAATATTCTGTATACATAAATAGTACCTTATGCTTTCTCGTATATTTCATAGAATGCCTTGATGTTATTATGCATTTCTGTTTCAACAGATAAAGTTCTTAAGTGCGCTTTACCGGCATATAGTACAGTATATGCCATACCTGTATACTGTACTAGCAATTACACTAGTCATCAACAATTACAAGTTATGAGAGATACAACTCTGTCTTGTTGTTATAATATTATTACTGCGCTTCAACAACTAAGATCTTTAAGTGCGCAACAAGTTTAATAATTTCACTATTTCAGCATTTTCAAAAAATTAAGAAATAACACTCTCTTCTCTTTGGTCTTATTTAGTTGTTCTTGTTTGATAAATATGCTTCATTTAGTTGATATTCCAATATACTGTGATTTTTTTTATAATCATTGTGTAGTAAGCAGAAAGGCGGTGCCAATATACATCACTTTTCCAAGAGGAGTTTTTCATTTCAAATTGTTTTATGATTCTCTGGTATTTACAATTTATGGGTCTGCTATGAGTTTTTCTGAACTTCAGCTATCCTAATACATAAACAAATTCATAATGAGTTTTTGCTTTTATTTTTAAACGAAAATATAAACCAATAACAACTCAAGACAAGGGGTAAAATATAAGGTACCGATACAAAGGAAACAGTGTCACTACATTTTTTTTTATTATTACAAATGAAAACTATCCTGGAGGTGGACGCGCAGGGGTCGCCTCCACTAACACGAGTTACATAATAATGCTATCTCGCTCTCCCCACACTAGAGACAACCGAACAACTAGTAAATCTGAATGTGACTCATAATTAATTATTTACAATAACCTTTAATTTCTTCGATACAGAAATAAGGATATTTTTTAGCACTGTGTTATATAATTGTCTTAAATAAACTAATAAAATTAATTAATCTCCTCCACGAAAATCATATTCAGTATATAAGTAGATTTAAAGCATTTACATTGATTTTTTCTCTGAAGTGACACATAGCAGGCATAATGACTTACAGCATTGTTATGCAGCCTTTAGTGTAGGGATAAGCTTTGGCGGGAAGATGGCTGTGTACACTGTCCAAAATATACCTTAGACGTTAGTTACATCTTTCCCAAGTTTCAGTATATGTATACATTTTTATATAAGGCATTATAGTGCACTTAATCACTACTGATGGGGACTAATGGCGGACTCCGGCACCCGTTACATGATAACATTTCACGACACTCTCGCCCGTATTATTAAACATCTTCCCTTGAAGAGGGTCGTCGTGTTTCAACCCGAGTTTTAGAATAAATGAGTCCTGAGGGACACCGTAGTACAGTACTTAACGGGGTGGTGTGGGGGTAAAATTAACTAATTCCAATATTATAAATAAATTTTATTGGAATTTGTTAATTTTACCGCCACACCACCCCGTTAACTACAGTACTGCGGTGTCCCTCAGGACTCACTTAGCTTAAAACTCGGGTTGAAACACTACGACCCTCTTCAAGGGAAGATGTTTAATAATACGGGCGTCTGGGTCTTCTAATGAACCAAGATGGCGGGCCAACTCGCCCGTGTGACTAAGACAACTCTCCTCAGAGGCGACGAAGGGGTCACGTGACTATTTGTGACCATTTGAAACTCAGGTGGACTAGCACAGTGCACAGGTAATCTATGGTTATACTAGGGTACAGGCACCAACTCCAGCGCTGTTGTGTGAGGCCACCTTTATGCCACAGTATTTTTTTTTCCAGGATCGCCCGCCAGTAACTTGCACTTCACTGTTTATTATCCTTATGATTTTATCATCTTGGCCATATTAAATGTAAAGACGTTGGGATGAATGAAGTACGTAAATATGATGAAACAGTGGTGGCAAGTTTACAGGCGGCTAACCAATGAAAAAATTACACTCAGCTCTGATAGTTTCTTGGAAACATAAGTTTCCAAGACTCAACGTGACAATGGTGGTGTGAGCTGTGCATCGGAGATAAAGTTTTTGTGCAGCCGTGACGTCATTGAATAGCTGACGAAAACATTTCCAAGCAGCTGACGATGTGTGACGTCATAATAACAGCACATCAATGTCTGACGCTAGAATACAGTCTAAAGTTTAGACTCCATTCACATATTGCATTTATATGATACTGAATAATATTATATAATGCAAAAGGTTGTCAAAATATAAAACATTAAAATAACTTCTTTGGTGTAATATAAGAAATATAAAGTTTATTTGCCGTGAAACAATGATCATAGTGATACAGTAGCCCCTGTGTTTAACCTGACTGTTAGCGAGGCAGGGCGGCGTGTGTCAGTTGGTGCTGTCACCAGCCTTACTGCCTCTTGACACATCTTTTATAGCTTGAATTGTCTTCTTGTAAGCTTGTAAGACAACAATAATTCATTGTGGTGACTGATATGAAGAGGGACCCAACTTATATGAAACAGATTTAATCAACATTCCAATTTATTTTTCTCCTGCCTGTTAATAATAAAACACTTCTCACAAATAAACGAAGATGTGTAGTGCGGGTGTTGTGGAGGGTTAGGAGGGGGGGTAACCCTGCACCTCCCTGTGGACCTCATGCCAGGAGAACCATCTGTCCGGTTCGCGCAGCCAGCACCTCCCACCCGCCAGTTGGTAACCATATGGCCTCCTGGCTCAGGCTTCCCCGATGGTTTATTAGTCCCCCATGTGTCGTACAGTGAGGGATAAGGAAAAAGTAGATTCCCATATGTTGTATAGCGGGGAAAATGTAGCGAGGCGCTGGAGAAGGAAGCACAAGTCCCAGGAAATACACCAACAGAAAAGAGAACAAAACATGAGATCCCAAAGTGCCGTGGTGTAAATGAGCATTAGTAAACAGGAATGTGGGTGATTTTTAAGCCGTAAAGGAAGATAATAACAGAAATATATGTGTGACCAAAACGGGAAGACGGAGCAGACGGCATCCATGTGTCACCGTCTGCCCAACTGTAGTGTTGTTTTGCCTCGCACTAGCATGAGCCAGTTGTGGGCCATGTGGTGCTGGAGGACCTGCCAGGGAGATGAGGGAGGGAGGGTGAGACTCATTCCGTGTCACCTGCTGCACGAGGATCCAGAAAGGCGACCACCATAACACTTCGGGCACAAATGTATCAAGGAGAAGGTCTTTACATCCTACAAGGATGCTCCAACAGTCACAACGTAAACACAAACTCACATATACGCCAGCACCTTTATATATCTTTACACACTCATGTTGGCTGATTTTTTTTTGGGGGGGGGGGGCTGGGCGGGGCTCGAAAGGTCATTGTTCACAAACAAATCTACTAGTTTCTAAATAAGAAATTGGAAACATGAAATACAGGAACATACAGAAGAATGACAGGTCTAGTTCGTCTTTACGACCTGTTTAATTATTGCTACGGACATAAAAATTCTAACAACATTATATCAACAGGAGAGACGAGGTTGTGTCTGGCTCTTCACCTCCGAGGAACTCAACACCCATTCAACCTTCTGAATGTTTGTAACACATATATGTAATTATCGTGTGTTTTAATAAAGCCATGACTAAATGAATGAACAAACAAAATTGCCTGAAATATACGCTATATGACTGGAATCTTGTAGTTGGTTACTTTATCAAGTTCCCTGGACAGACACACCCGGTACACAGCAACACCAGGAGCAAGGCGTGGGTTCGTGGTTTGCTGCCAACGCAACACTTATCCTCCGCTGCTCCTGCCTGCAGGCTACCGCACCACCAGATGGTCAAGACCTGCCTGCTGCTGCACGAGGAGGCCCACGCGCCCTTGGGAAGGTTAAGCAGCAGACGGAGACGGTGACGGCGACGTGGGGAGCGATTGAGGTGAGCAGTGGAAGCGCAGGGCTCACGTGCTCCCCGGCAGAGTGTGGGATATGGACCCGCTCAATCTGTTGGTCGCCTTGGTTACGTCTCGCCGCATCTGCCGGAGCACAGGAAAAACAGGTGTTAATTAGGGCTGCATCTGCTGTCCACAGGAATCGTAAACCTCATTGAAATGATGTCACACAACATAAAATAAATATTTATTTTTCTGTACTGCTGCAAGAGTTAACTAGGACTACGTAAATATTCGGCATCTCAGCTTATTTCACAGCTGATCATCCTTATAGAGGGCAGGGTTTCTCAGCTAAATAAAATTGTCTGGCGTAGACCAGATTAAAACAATTAAGTGTGGAGCTGCCCTCTAAAGGGTTAAACACTCTAACACTAACTGATACGGTAAGGTTAGGTTGGTTTTAAGCTGGTTAATCTTAAGGTGAAATAAGCTCAGGTGCCTATCTTTATGTGATCCATAACTCACAAGAGATAATTCTAAATACAGCATTGAATTGTCTTACTCAACTGGTTCATACACTTCCAACATATTTTACAATATGTACTTGCGTTAATGAACTAGTGTAGCTGCCATCAAAATAAGGAAATTTACAGTAATGCACAAGTCTTTGTTCAGATATAATGTAAAACTACAGTAATTCATTGGTGGTGACAGCATCATAGAATTAGCTGAAAGATTCAAGTAAAAATTGCAATAGTTAGTGGAGGTTCAAACTGAGCAACACCTCCCCCCCCCAAAAAAAAAAATAAAAAAAATGCAAACAATACCAACACGGCATTCATGTTGTAATTCCAGCGTCCACGTGCAAGCAACCAAATATCACTGATGACTTACAGATAGAGGAACACTCGAGGATTTCCCTCATTGTGATAGCTGATATCGACATATTACCTTTAAATTAATTCAACATTTTTACAGACATATGTAACTTCCAATATTTTAAGCAACGTTACCATTCATCCGTGACACAATTTGTTCCGCCGGAAGTAAATCTGGCAACAATGACACGAGTATTCACTCTGATAATGAGTCCTAGTGTCGCCCTCACACACAGGGGTGCCAACATAAATATACTATTTTCAGTGTCATTCTTAGTAATTAAGCCTTATATAGCTGGATTTTGTTTAATTAAAACTTTACATATTTTTCAGATACTTCTCATCACTTCAAACGAATAAAATTATTCAAAATACACAGGACTTAAATGAGGAGTGGCTGGTATCACCGAAGAGCGATAGCATGTTCACCATTCAAAATACGGATAGGAATAACATTCAGTTTATAAAGATTATGTTTTGTACGGATCAATATCACTATACAACAGTGACAACACTACAAATCACCTTCAGTTAGATACCGGTACTACAGAAGAAAGCCCCGGGAACCAAAATACTTCAAGAGAAAAAAAGCAAACACCTTAAAAATTAAAATGAGCGGAACAAATCCTAAATACTGTACAGACAGATGCCGTCCTTTCGCAACAACCACTCCTCCGCCTCACAGTTTATTGCTTATGTGGCTGCTTATGTGGCTGTCTGCCTCAAGCAATCGTTACCAAGAAACAATATCTCTATAACAACAACACATACACAAATATACATATAGAGATGCACTCTTATCAGGACTTAAATATTATAACTTCGAGTATTGTACACAAAAGTGGGCATACACTCAAATTTACACGCTCACATAAACACAGAAACACACTATCATCAACATTTCCAAACATTCTCGCAACAGCAGGTGCACCGCCACCACGGATAGTAGCAGTGATTCAGTTCGTCAGCAAGTTCATGAATGAAATTCTAGAATGCTACGAAAAGCGACTATCTCATTAGAAACCAAGCTCTTTCATTGACTGCCATTAGATAATGCACTCGTTTTACGATATATATATATATATATATATATATATATATATATATATATATATATATATATATATATATATATATATATATATATATATATATATATATATATATATATATATATATACACGAATACTTCTAATGTATTTAGACTTTGTGTGGAATGTGGAACTCGTCATATTGCAGCATAGTCATCTGCGCGGGACAGCGACTGCCGCGTACCTCCCCTCGCAGGCGCAGACCTGCCAACACCTCAACCATATAAGTCACTTTCTCCATTGTGCTTGGACAATCCGATTCTTAAAACAGAATCTAAATTCATCTACACGATTATCATAATAGTCATAAACGTGAGAAATAATTATTTATAATAAAAATAAAGGTAGGGAGCAGGTTACTGTATCAGCAGTTGGCAATTCTGCTCCAGCGCGACATGTGGGTACACAGACAACATTTGGGCGGACGTCCGACTGTGTCAGCCAGATGGGGAGGTGGCCTTCCGCTCACATCGCTCTTGTTTCATTACTCCATGAATACAAATTTTATAACAGCGCTCTGTGATGAATGGAACCTTATTAGCATAACTAAACACGTTTAATATATTTTCACGTTTGCATCCTTTCATCAAACAACAAACACCATTGTCATTGCTGCATCACTTAAATTAGTTTAAAAACGCTCTTATCAACAAGGTAAATAAAGTCCTATTTGCCTAGGTCTTGTTGATCATTATGAACATAACTTAAGTGCCTCTGTATTACATGAGTGGGGAATATAACCTGGTAAATTATAAAATTCTTTCCCGGGAAAATCAATAGCCTTTCCAAGTCGTTCTATAACCTACTGAAGACCACCTTTACCACCCTCCTGACAACGGTGTCATCCCACTTGGACGATCGTCTGTTTTATGCAATTTTTACCATCTTAATTAAATGATCAGATTAGGTTAGTTTCGTTACGTTAAATTGCATAAAACAGACGATCGTCCTAATAGGGATGTGATCCTGACAACCACACTTACCTCACTCTCACCCTCCTGACAACCTCACCTCCCCCACACTCACCCTCCTGACAACCTCACCTCCCCCACACTCTTACCCTCCTGACATGATAGAGGTGTATAAATGGAAGTCAGGGTTAAACAAAGGGAACATTACAAAGGTACTCAAACTATCCAACCAGGAGCGAACTCGTAACAATTGTTTTAAATTAGACAAATTTAGATTTCGGCGTGAAATAGGTAAACACTGGTTTGGAAACAGAGTAGTGGATGAATGGAACAAGTTACCAAATATCATCATTAACTCGAATACGCTGAATAGCTTCAAACATAAGTTGGATGCTTATATGAGCAGTAGGGGTTGGGTATAAACGGGACTGCCCAGTATGGGTCAATAGACCCGCTGCAGTTTCCTCCATTCTTATGTTCTTATGTTCCCCACACTCTCACCCTCCTGATAACCACACCTTCACAGTCTCACCCTCCTGACAACCACACCTTTACACTCTCACCCTCCTGACAACCACACCTTCCCCACACTCTCACCCTCCTGATAACCACACCTTCACAGTCTCACCCTCCTGACAACCACACCTTTACACTCTCACCCTCCTGACAACCACACCTTCCCCACACTCACCCTCCTGACAACCACACCTTTACACTCTCACCCTCCTGACAACCACACCTTCCCCACACTCTCACCCTCCTGACAACCACACCTTCCCCACACTCTCACTCCTGACAACTCCTTCCCCACACTCTCAACCTCCTGACACCCACACCTTCCCACACTCTCACCCTCCTGATAACCACACACCTTCACAGTCTCACCCTCATGACAACCACACCTTTACACTCTCACCCTCTGACAACCACACCTTCCCCACACTCACCCTCCTGACAACCACACCACCTTCCCCACACTCTCACCCTCCTGACAACCACACCTTCCCCCACACTCTCACCTCCTGACACCCACACCTTCCCACACTCTCACCACACCCCGACACCCACACCTTCCCACACTCCTCATCCTCCACACCCACACCTTCCCCACACTCTCATCCTCCTGACACCCACACCTTCCCCACACTCTCATCCCTCCTGACACCCACACCTTCCCACACTCATCCTCCTGACACCCACACTTCTCCACTCTCATCCTCCTGACACCCAGACCTTCCCCACACTCTCACCCTCCTGACACCCCACTTCCTTCCCACACCTCACCCTCCTGACACCCACACTTCCCCACACTCTCACCCTCCTGACACCCAGACACTTCCCCACACCTCACCCGCCTGACACCCACACTTCCTCACACTCTCACCTCCCTGACACCCACACCTTCCCCACACTCTCACCCTCCTGACACCCAGACCTTCCCCACACTCTCATCCTCCTGACACCCAGACCTTCCTCACACTCTCACCCTCCTGACACCCACACCTTCCCCACACTCTCACCCTCCTGACACCCACACCTTCCCCACACTCTCATCCTCCTGACACCCAGACCTTCCTCACACTCTCACCCTCCTGACACACCTGACACACAAACACCGGACGCTCGAACTATTGACATCCTCCTGACACATTCATAGTACTCACACACCCTGCTGACATTCCCCGGAGACTCCTGACACTACTGACGCTCTGACAATCTTAGTTCGTTTAAATTTCACACTCCCGCACATTGTGTTTACATTAGAGTGAAGTGTGTCCTACTAGTGTAACTCACTGAAAGATGGTGATGACTAGTGTGACTCACTGAAAGGTGGTGATGACTAGTGTGACTCACTGAAAGGTGGTGATGACTAGTGTGACTCACTGTAAGATGGTGATGACTAGTGTGACTCACTGAAAGATGATAACTGTTGTGACTCACTGTAAGATGGTGATGATTAGTGTGACTCACTGAAAGATGGGGATGACTAGTGTCACTCATTGAAAGATGGTGATGACTAGTGTGACTCACTGAGAGATGGTGATGACTAGTGTGACTCACTAAAAGATGGTGATGAGTGTGACTCATTGAAGACGGTGATGACTAGTGTGACTCACTGTAAGGTGGTGATGACTAGTGTGACTCACTGAAAGATGGTGATGACTGTTGTGACTCACTGTAAGATGGTGATGACTAGGGTGACTCACTGAAAGATGGTGATGACTGTTGACTCACTGTAAGACGGTGATGACTAGTGTGACTCA